TTTTGGAGGCTGTGGGTAGAAGCCCTTTGAACCTGAAACTTTAATAGCCTGGATGGATTAGTTTTCATGGCCCATCTTTTAACAGTAATAACTATGGGAATGTAAACATTGACCACAAAATTGTGATTGAGAAAAACTGTTCAAGAATAGCAATGTACGATTAGGTCAATATCTGCTAATTTTTAGAAATATGTATATCACTTGTTAAAAGTACTTTTTCCTAATCTCAGGAAACAAACTGAGGGTTGCTGGAGTGGTGGGGGGGGGTGGGAAGGATGGGTGCCTGGGTGATAGACATTGGGGAGGGTATGTGCTATGGTGAGTGCTGTGAATTGTGTAAGACTGTTGAATCACAGACCTGTACCTCTGAAACAAATAATACATTATATGTTAAAAAAAAGAAGAAGATAGTAGGGAAAAATGAAAGGGGGGAAATCAGAGGGGGGACAAACCATGAGAGACTGTGGACTCTGAGAAACAAACAGGGTTCTAGAGGGGAGGGGGCAGGGGGATGGGTTAGCCTGGTGATGGGTATTAAAGAAGGCACGTACTGCATGGAGCACTGGGTGTTATACACAAACAATGAATCATGGAACACTACATCAAAAACTAATGATGTAATGTATGGTGATCAACATAACATTAAAAAAAAGGTACTTTACCGAAAATGAGCTTAATGTTTGAAATAAATTACAGAAAAGAACTTCTCTTTAGAACACATCAACCTTCAAAGTTAATAAACTTTGAGTGTTTCTTTAGCAAAGGAAACAAATATTTAGAGTCCAGGACCTAACATACAAAGAGACTTTTCTGCATCACCTCTCCTATAATTGAGTCTGGGTGCCATTATTGAGGGTACTCTGGCTAATCTTAATTGTTGTGATGATATGAGGAGATATGATATATAAGGTGATCAAACCACATGGGGTAGAATATTAAGAACCATTGTTAAGTTAGAGGATGGAATGAAATGAGAACGAAACAAGTCAGGCATTTGGTCTTGGTATTTCCTGTTGTTAGTGCTAGAATAGTTTACTTTTTCTGTTAAAAGACAACAAATCTAATTTTTCCTCTGATAGTTATACAGTATAATGCACATATACATATGTATCCACATATACATATATAGAGCCATGTTTGATGGCCAAAAAGGAAGAGGCCCCAAGGGCTCTTTAGTGTGCAATTAATATTTTGGTCAGAAAATCAGCAGATTGTTTCAGTATGGTTATGTGTTATGACATCATATTCCAGTAAAGTCATAATGAACAGAAATTTTGTTTGTCTCTGTGGCAAACCGAAATGAGTTTTGTAATTGTCAGCAGGCCTTAGCGATTACAGTGGCGCCCACTCCCTCTACTGTAGTTAAAGGTCTGTTAGCATTCCAGTTGTGGACCTCTGTTTTCAGAAGTGTATAATTAATTGTAAACATTTGCTCTATGGTGAAAGCTTGCCATATAAGATCTTAGTACAGGAGTAAATTTCTGATTTCAGGTTGTCTGTTTTAAAGTTTTATAGTGGCACAAGTTAAAAATATGCACGGAGTTCTGTGTAGGTGGAATACTGAATTTTGTGGTATACAATATGAAGATAACCTGCATTTAATGTATTGGTCTGTTAAGATATCTGCATTAAAGGGGATCTAAAATAATAGGAAAGTGCACTTCAGGAATGCAGTAGGAAATTGTGCACCTCAGTGTACTACTTATTGTAATTAAAGAGCAAAACAGATTGTGGTTTTTAATGCTTTTTAGTCTTTGCATATTAAAAGTCTTTTACCCTAAGTGGTTTTTTTCTTCCTTTAACTTTTTTATATTTGCCAATTAAAAATGAGAACCTATGACATAATAAAAACACACTTAAAATGCTTTATCTTAAAACAAAGTAATAGAAAACTGTGGGCCAAGAAAATTGACTTTAAGAATTTAAAACAGCAACTGTTTCTTTTTTTTCATACTCTGGATTTCTCCACGACGTTTGACACTGTTGATTTCCCTGACATTGTGCGGTAATCTCTTTTCTAACTCTGACCCTCTTTCATCTCCTTCACTGCTGTCTATTATTTCCCCTGCCTTTTGATCACGGGCCTCAATCAGATCCCAGCCTTAGGCTCTCTTTTTTGGTTCCTTTACACTTACCTTTCCAGGTGCTTATCCACTCACATGGTTTCAATTACTGCCTCCCAAATCTGTATCTTCAGTGCTGATGCACCTTTCTAGTCCTTTACCTTCTGTAAACCTTCCCTGATTAGTCCCATCTGCCTGGTGAATTCTTACACAGTGGGCTCCGTCCAGTTTATCTCAGGGTGAATATGGGACACTGCTCTTTGGCTGCTCAGTAATCATCCAGAACTCAGTAGGACTTCAATTGGACTTCTCTTTGCTTGGAACCGACATTTTTCAGCACTGGCGTTATTTTAACTTAATTTTTGGCATTACATTGTGTATCCACCATTGCATCAAAATCATTCCTTTTCAGTTTTGTTAAATTGCCCAATTCAGTGGTCTTAGTTCGCGGTCATCATTTTCCTTGACCTGTGAGTATAATTTGACACAGTTGACCCCTCTCTCCTCCTAGATAGATTTTTTTTCCCATTTGGCTTTCAGGAGGAGCACTGTGCTTGCCTGGTTTTTCTCCTGTTACTCCTTCCCACAGTTCTCACTGTCTTGTGGCTTTAAAGATTTTATTTATTTTTGCGAGAGAGAGAGAGCGAGAACAAGCATTGGGGGGGGGGCACAGGGAGAAGCAGACTCCCCACTGCAAGGAGCCTGATGTGGGACTTGATCCTGGGACCCTGGGATCATGACCTGAGCCAAAGGCAGATGCTTAACCAACTGAGCCGCCCAGGCACCCCTGTCTTGCAGCTTTAAATACTATATATATATATATATATGTGTATATATATATACACACATATATATAGATGATTCCCAAATTTTATATTCACTTTGGACCTCTTTCCTGGAGTCCAGACTCAGAAATCTGACTATTCACTTGACATCTCCACTTGGATGTCTAAACAGGCTGAATAATAAATTTCCAAACCAGAGCTGCTGATACGCATGCCCAACAAATAAATCCTTCTGCACGCAGTCTTCACCAATTCACTGTATGGGTACTCTGTCTTCCACTTGTTCAGCTCAGAAACCTTGGGATCATCCTTGACTCCTCTTTCATGTTCCATAACTAATCCTTGGGTAAACCCTATCAGCTCTACTTATTATTAGTATTTTTTTTTTTGTTTAAAGATTTTATTTATTGAGAGAGAGAGAGTGCATGTGCACCAGGGCAGGCAGGGGCAGAGGGAGGGGGAGTGAGAAAATCTCAAAAAGACTCTGCTGAGTACAGAGCCCAGCGCAGGGCTCAATCCCATGACCCTGAGATCATGACCTGAGCTGAAATGAAGAGTCGGATGCTTAATTGACTGAGCCACCCAGACACCCCCTATCAGCTCTACTTTTGAAATTCATTCAGAATCCAACTGCTTCTCATTACTTGCATTGCTGCCACCATAGTTCAGGCCCCTGTTGCTTTTCTCCTGTATTTTTGTAGTAGTCTCTTGATAGATCTCTTTGCTTCCATTATCATTTGCCTACAGTCTGTTCTCAACATAATAGTCAGGTGATCCTTCCAAAATGTAAGTCAGATATGTTGCTCGCTTCCAAACCTTCTAGTGGCTGGCCATTTCACTCAGGATAAAAGTCAAATCCTTACAATTTCTAGGTAAGGCCCTATGGAATCTGGCTACTTCTTTTCACTTCTTAACTTTTCTTTCCTCATCCCTCCACTGTAGCCAGATAGGCATCTTCTGAATCACTTGAACATGCTTGGCACACTGCTGCCCCAGGGCTTTTGCACTTGCTATTTTTCTCTGCCTCAAGTGCACTGTTCCAGATATCTGGGTGGCTTCCTCCCTCACTTATTTTAGGTCTTTACACAGTTGTCATCTTTTCAATGAGACCCTCCCTCCCTGGTCACCCTGTCTAAAACCCACCTCCCTGAGACGTCTGACCTTTCCTTTTTCTCTTTAACTTAGATCTCTAACATGCTAGATATTCTGCATATTACCTTATTTATTATCTGTCTTGCCCAGTACAATGTGTTTTTGTTCATTGTCATATTCCCTCGTCATAAAGAATATCCTCCATAAATAATTGTTGAATTAATCAATTTTATTGCATATCCTCTTAATTTTTTCTTCTTAATTTCTTCTAGTTTGTTCTTTCTTCATTCAACCCTGTTATCCCCTCATATTTGCATCACTGCTTTCTAGTTGTGACTCCTTGCTTCAGTAGTTAAACACAAACCTGCTAAAAAAATTATCTCTTTAAGTATATTTTATTATAATATTGCTTATCTGCTCAAGAATTGGCTTACCTCCCCATTCTTTCTTATGTTCAGTCTGATCTTATTACTTGGCAAAGTACTGATTCCCTTGGAATGGAGTAGTAGCTCCATCTCTCTGCCTCCCTCATGTCTAGCCATAACTGTCTTCTGCTGAAGTTACCGTCCTCTGCATGCTGTCCCCTAAATGGGGTTGCCTGTCTCCTGCCTCTGTTGTGGCTCCCTTCAGCACCAGACCATTCGGCTTACATCTGTCAAAATCTGACCGAAAACTTCTTACTTAAAAGTTTTCCGTGATATAATTGAATAATTTTTACCATATTATGTTTAATATTGTTTTCTATAATATGCTTTTCATGGAGAAATAGATCTATAGTTGTATTGATTCATATTTTATTGTTTATAAATACATTCGTGAAGTTAATACTTGATTGGGGTCATGTTTTCTATAATATGCTTTTCATGGAGAAATAGATCTGTAGCTATATTGACTCATATTTTATTGTTTATAAATACATTCATGAGGTTAATACCTGATTGGGGTGAATTAGTATAGTACATTATATGGTTGCTATCATTTTCAAGAAAACAAATGTTACTCATGATTACAGAATGGTTGTATTGAACTACCATTGATTTTTTTTATTTTCTTATTTTAGGTATCATTGCCCAGTGCCCAAGATCTTTTATGTTCAGCTGACTGTAGGAAATAATGAATTTTTTGGGGAAGGAAAGACTCGACAAGCTGCTAGACACAATGCTGCAATGAAAGCCCTTCAAGCACTACAGAATGAACCTATTCCAGAAAAATCACCTCAGGTATGTTACTGCTACCTGTGACAGTCTCTACCTTATAGTTCCCCAGTGAGATTATTGACAAGACAGATAAATGCATTTCTATAAATAAAAGAGATAATTTCTCCTGATAGGAAAGAATGTTAGAGTGGTGACCTGCTATGATTTGCTTCTCAGATCACCTGTCTACTCTTTTAGACTCATGTGTTCCTGTTAGGATGACCTTACCTTTGAGGACTTTGGTTCACCTATGGAGTTTACTTCTCAGGCAGCACAGGATTTGGGGGTGTGAACAAGGATGAGAAATAGTATTCATTTACCTTTCATTTAATGCTGTGTTTATTGAGCAGAGATTACATTGTGTTCATTTAGAATCAAGGAGTTTAAAGTGGAAGAGATTTTCGTGGACTTTTTTCAGTCCTATTTTATTTTACAGACCAGGATATCAAGGCTGATCTTGAGTAATTGCACCCATTTCCCATGGCTTCAGCTGCCTTCTCTGTTGATTTCAAAATAGTATCTCTGGCTCAGACATGTCTTATAAGTCACTTCCTTATTGAGTTCTCCGCTTAGTTATTGCAAACCGTTCTGTCCAACTCCTACATTTCCTCTGCTCTCAAACCTCTTGTCCTCCCCATCTGAGATTCATCTTAGTTAATGGCTGACTTAGGTATTTTTCTCCTTGTACACTTTCATTATGACTCTTATCTGTTTGCTTATCTGTTTTCACACTAAGTCATAAGTTTCTTGGCAGTAGGAATACTGTCTCTTGATCTTTTTATCTCTAATACCCTGTGTTCAACATATATGAATCTCTTCAGAAGTATGTGTTAAAGAAGTGAATAACTAAATTGGTGCCAAAGCCAGAGATAGAGCTCCAGAATCCTGATTTGCATCTTATAAGCTTTCTATAGTTTAGTCTTTACAGAAGATTAAATAGCATATTAGAATATCAGGGAAAGTGTTGTGTGTGGGGGGCGGGTGGGGGATAGACATCTCTAAAGAGAATTGAGTCTGGGGACATAGTATAAACTCAAATTAGTATATGGTTGAGTAAAAGATTTCCACACTCAGCATTTATTCTTCCACTTTGAGCAAAAAAAAAAAAAAAAAAAAAAAAAACCCTACAAATTAAATCACAAAATGCCTTGCAGCAAAGCCCACAACTCCTGTGGTTATATAGGAATCCACAAGATACAGTGTCTGGTTTCTTGTTTCTTACTGTATTTTAAATAGGCCCTCTTGATTGTAGACTATATGTACAGTTTGTTACAAAGTGAAGATTCATCGTCATCCTATTTTTTGTGATTTAGAACGGCGAATCAGGAAAAGAAATGGATGATGACAAAGATGCGAATAAATCTGAGATCAGCTTAGTGTTTGAAATTGCTCTGAAGCGAAATATGCCCGTCAGTTTTGAGGTATGTGCTCAGTAGCGATCTTCCCTTTCCCTCCCCCTGCTCCTCACTATTTAAAATAAACAAACAAATTAATTAACCAGCGTACTAGTATCCTGAAAGAGTTAGTGTGCTTCCTTATGTTCAGCTTCTCCATCATGAAATCATATAGGCCCTGGGGAAAATAGAACTTACTATAGTATCATGGATTTCTGCTGATTTCTTTGGCTTTTCTGTATTAAATAATTTGTATATATGATGTTTTAATTTTCATCATAACATTTTGTGAGTATAAGATAATTTGTAGTAAGGTTTGGTGTTTTTAATGTGATTAAATTGAAGGTATTCAAGTTAAAAGTGACATGTATATATTACTACTAAATTCTTCTAAATTTGTGGAATCCAAATAGGTTTAAATTTAACTTTTACTAATAAATCACTAAGAAGTAATTAAGCAGCTCTCTACAACTAGATAAACATGTCACAAAATGTTTATAAAATGTGAAATTTAAAAGGGAAAAATTTTAAATTATTATACCTCCTTCATTAAGAGGTCACTAATTTTGTAACTCAGATATCTAGAAAATAGGCAAAACCCAGGAAATAAGCTGAAACAGTTATGGAGTATCCTTCAAATTATGGATGTTCACCAACCACAAAGCTCCCACATTTTATTTACTGGCAAGATCAACTGACCTCAACCAAGACCCTATCTCCTTAGACACAATTCTCCTCAGTTGGGTTATCTGATCTCTCACCCTATGGCAAATTAAAAGCAAAATGAGGAAGGCAGGGATGCAAAGTACTTGAGGGCCTGATGGTCCCAGCAAAAAATAATAGGGGAAATATAGAAACGCTATCTAAAGTAATTGCATATACTAAAAAAAATATTGGAACATGGGCCTTTTAAAGGCTACAATGAATAGGAACAGTTTTATAAGTCTTAAAAGTCCTTGGAAGCATCAATATATTATAGTATAGAATATTTGGTTTTCATAATGATGATCTAATGTGAGCAATAAAAGGTCAGGTATTTAGTATTCTCTGTTAAGTCAGTTAAGTATATACTTTTTTTTTTAATTGAGGATATCCATCAAAGTAGTTAAACAGTTTTGGTGTTTCAGTTAGTAAACTTAAATTACATGGAAAGTATGCTCATCGTAAGTTTCTTATCCCCAATAATGTTGAATTATTCAGATACTTTGTTGTTTTCCTTTTCTTTTCCTAATTGGTATCTAATATTAGAAGACAGAATTTTAATATAAAGTTAATGGTAAACAATTTAACTAAATAGAGTATCTTTTATAGGTCAGAATTTTGAAGGAGACTGAAGTTGTGAGCATTTGGGTTTTGGAAGGCATCTTTCCTCCAAAAGCTGGCATAGTTTAAAGAACACATTAATACAGGGTTTAGGAACATTCATGGCTGACAGATTCATAATCCATTACTTTAGAAAGATAGGTATTTTTTATGGTATGTCTACTTACCTACTTAAGATCATGTCACAGAAAGTAAACATTCCTTTCTATAAAACAGCCTTTGAGGCCTCCATCAAAAATAGGTTATTTTCACCCATAAGTTATTTTTGAGAGGCTTCCATATGAAGGATGCTTTATGGGCTAGAGAACCCCGGGAAGAGGTAGTCTTGTACTTAAGTAACTTATTACAGAGAAGAAATTAGAGATGTACACAGTTATATACAAATTATTGTTATGGATGGTCTCTGCACCTAATCCAATATGGTATGTTTTATATTCTTAATTTTCTGTTCCATAAGAAACTGGGTCACCATGATTAGAATTGCCTATTTTAAGCTAGTAAAACACAAATTTTGACTATGAATTGAATGTATTTATTTGGTTTTTTTGTTCTTTTGACTTCAGTTCATTAAGCATCATAAGTATCATAAATGAATGTCCCTGTATAATATCTACATAACTTTATTAAAGAAATCTATAGTTTTGGCATAATTCTTTATAATTTCAATTTTGATTATGATATGTACATTTAAAAAAGACTCATGGGATGAGAACATTTCATAAGTGCCTATGTTAAACATTTTACTTATATTTAATAGGTTATTAAAGAAAGTGGACCACCACATATGAAAAGCTTTGTTACTCGGGTGTCAGTGGGAGAGTTCTCTGCAGAAGGAGAGGGAAATAGCAAAAAACTCTCCAAGAAGCGTGCTGCCACCACTGTCCTACAGGAGCTTAAGAAACTTCCACCTCTTCCTGTGGTTGAAAAGCCAAAATTATTTTTTAAAAAACGCCCTAAAACAATAGTAAAGGTAAGTGTGTGCTTGTGAACACTGGTCAGTTTTGCTATATAAATACTATAGTAACTATAGATAAAAGTTTTTCTGTGGGGCAGGCACCTACATCTATGGGTTATATGCAGCCCCAGAGTCAAGGCTGGCCCCGGACTATTAGTTAGTAACAGTTCTGTTCTGCTGTTAGACACTGGACACCTGCATTTGTTCATCAGATAATCATACCTTCCATATTTATAGTTTTCTATGGTTTAAAAGATACTTTCTCATTCATGATCACCTTTAGTATCATTCTCATCAGGACTGTGTAAGGTAGATGACATCACCTCTTTTTACAAGTAAGGTTTTATGAAACATGTTCAAAGAATTTGCTTGCTTTTATTCACCTGGGCTGTGGAGCAACTTGAACTACTTTGATTTCCAGTGCCGTGTTCTTTCTGCACACTAGGCTGCGATAGAGTACCTTCTTGGGATATCATGAAAGGGTGGTAGGTTACAGAGTAATACTTGTATGACTAATACCAATGCCGGTGATAGCAGCAGCTCATACATATAAAAAGCACTGTGCGTCCCAGCACTTCATGTGCTTTATCACATTTAATCCTCATAGCAGCCCTGTGAGGTAAGTGGTAGTATTTTGTTTCTATTCTTTCAGGCATGTGTACCTTGCCAAAGAAGAAAACAGAGCACACACTTTTTCAAGATGTTGTAACTCTTTCTTTTACTAGAGCAGATTTTTTTTTTGTTTACACTAACAACAACAACAACAACCAAAAAATGGGTGAGATGATTCATTCAGCCCTGAGTATAGGACACTGCCTGTGAGTGCTCAGTGTGTATGACTTGCATGAACTAGAGTTCCGCTCACAGAGAAAGCCTTCAGTTGCCAGCGTGTCAGTTGCCAAGTCACTGTCACTTAGTTAGCAGACTTCTGGTTCTGCTCTACAAATCAAGAATTACAAATATGAAGCACGGTTAACCCTTGAACAACATGGGTTTAAACTGCATGAGTCCATTTATATGCAGATTTTTTCTGTAAATACAGTATAGTAAATGTATTTTCTTTTCCTTATGATTTTCTTTTTTTCTTGTGATTTTCTTAGTAACATTTTTCTTCTACTTTACTGTAAGAATATAGTACATAATACATACAACATACAGAATATGTGTTAATTCACTGTTTTATGTTATTGATAAGGCTTCTGATCAACCATAGGCTATTGGTAGTTAAGTTTTGGGGGAATCAAAACAAAAAAAACAAAAAGAAGTTATACATGGATTTTTGACTGAGTGGGGTATTGGTGCTCCCCCCTCCCCCTCTCTGCAACGTTTTTCAGGGGTCAACTGTACGTTTTTATCTCGGATGAACCTCTTTTGTTTAGATTATACAATGGTAAAACTACAGTATTTTTATAGATTTTCTGCCTTTTGCACCTTTGTTTTACTTAAAAATACATGCATGCATATTTGCATAAATAACTATATAAACACGTGTTCTTCTTATTTTTTTTAATGAAGATTTTATTTATTTATTTGACAGAGAGAGAGCACAAGCAGGGGGAGTGGCAGGCAGAGGCAGAGGGAGAGGGAGAGGGAGAAGCAGGCTCCCGACTGAGCGAGGAGCCCAATGTGATACCTGGCTCAATCCCGGCACACTGGGATCATGACCTGAGCTGAAGGCAGAAGCTTAACTGACTGAGCCACCCAGGCACCCCATACACATGTTCTTAATGAATACTATCATTGTCTAACTGAGAACGTATAGGTTATGAGTTCCCTGAAATAGCATTCTATATTGTATATAAGATAGACTAAAAATAAATGCCAAATAGATCTACTTATCATGATTCCTATTGATTCTGTGGGCTGGCTTTCATTCATATGCTCTAACCTCATGGTTAGGGAGTAGAATATGGCTTTAAGAATATAACATTTGGATTCAGTTTTAAGTCTGAATCCCTGTGACCTGAGCAAGTTACCTAACTTTTCTAATCTTTTATTTCTTTACTTATGAAAGTAGGAATAATAATTGAACTTGCTTCATAGGGATTGTTATGTGTTAACTGAAATATACACAGAATGTGTTAGTAATTATTATTAAATATTTATTAACAATACAAATTATAAGTGCTCAGTAAAGATTAACTATTGTTATTTTGTATCTAACTCTGTCTATTCACATCTTATATGTATGTGAATATATCCATGATCTGTTTTCTTAAATATTTTTTTTAAATTTTTATTATTGAGGTATAGTAGAAATACAATGAAATATTAGTGTCAGTTGTACAATATACTGACTCAGCAGTTGTACGCATTACTGAGTACTTAGTCACTATCTGTCACTGTTGTTATTACAGTACTATTGACTGTATTTCCTATGCTATACTTTTCATCCCTGTAACTTATTTATTTTGTAACTGGAAGTTTTTAGCTCTTAATCCTATTCACCTATTTCACCCATTCCCCTCCCCTTTGCCAACCACCACTTTGTTCTCTGTATTAGTGAGTCTGTTTTGTTTTTTTTGTTTGTCTTAAATATTTTTATATATAAAATCTATAGCCTTTCCATGATGGAAGAACAGTGCTCTGCATCAGAATGGCAGCACAAAACTGGTCACAGTAATTTTCATCTAATTTATTAAACTAAATCGGATCTTAGTAAGTTACAAATAATGAGCCATTAGACTAGAAAAGATCTATACATTTTTATGGTAGGATATAAACATAACCTTGTTGCTTTTACCTTTAGCCATTAAAAACAAGATTATTGTTTAAATGTTATTCCCCAGAGTGGGGATAAACATTTTAAATTCTCAAAATTATTTGCTGCTACTTCTAGTATATAAGCATGTTATTCCAGAACTTTCTTCCTATCCACCATTCATATCTCAGCTTGAACTTGACTTCTTTAGGGAAGCCTTCTTTGTTCTCCCCCACTCCCAGATTAGGTTAGCCCCTTGCATTTTTCCTCACATACATCACACTTGGAATTATTTGTACCGTGTCTGTCTTATGTTAAAGTAAATCCTATAGACATCTTCTGAAATGTAAGGTTATTTTGAGAAAGCAGCATGCATACAATGAGGTGGAATCTAGGTAATTTTTAAGTATGGTGGGCCAATAAATGGGTAGGTTGAAATAATATCTTGGTTTTTCAGCATTTTTATCCTTCCTTACAGGTCTTATACATCTAGGCTCTACAGTTATTTATTATGCAGTAGAAGCAGAGAATAAACTGTTGATGATTTACCTGGACTTTATTTAGAATGAAACATCACATTATTTTAATTTTCTTAATCATGCTGTGATGTAGCTGTTATCCTGTTTTACAAATGGGATCCTTGATGTTTAAGAAACTTACCCAAGATCATGTAACAGGTTCCAGGTCCAGTCATGTCTGATTCCAGTGTCCATTTGAAACTGATTGATTGTGAATTCCTTTTGGATTTTAAAATTAACTCTACAGAGTTACCTTGTTAAAATGTAAGACTGCCCTAGTGATGTCTCTGGGTCTATATTTTGTTTTTTAATGTAATTCTCTTCTATAAGATGAGACTTCAGAGAATGTATTTCTGATGTTGGAGATAAAGTTTTCTGGACACAACTGTTAAAAGACTTTCCATACTAGTTTGGGAAAGATAACATAAGACTTGATATCCAAGGAATAACTTAATTGTCAAGGATGCTAGTAGTTAATTTCAATCAAGGGAAGAAACCAGCCATTCTTAATGTTCTCAGACTCCATTATTATCTAATTGGATTTTGGCAACTGTTTTTTTTGTCATTGGAATCCATATCAACAACAGTGTTTTGGAACGTAAGAACTTTTTTTTAAAGAGGGAAGGAGGGGCAGAGGGAGAGGAAAGAGAATCTTAAGCAGGCTCCATGCCCAGTGTGGAGCTGGATGCGGGGTTCAGTCTTACAACCCTGAGATCATGACCTGAGCCAAAATCAAGAGTCAGACGCTTAACTGACTGAGCCACCCAGGTTCCCCATGGAACTTAAGAACATTTTTATAAAGTGTAAATTAAGAATAGAGACAATGCATCATTGGAAGTACATTTTTATTTGAATATCTTCATGAACTAGGCATACTTCTAGTCCTAGACTCAAAAGCTTCCCTTCACCTTTTCACTGATAATCCAATCTTAGACTTGTAACTAATTGTCTATATTAGTCTTTTCTCATCAGTACGTTACTTCCTTTATAATTCATTTAGTTTTCATTTTTTTGGCAGGTAAGTAGAGGTAGAAAGCGTTATTTTATTACAAGTTAACATTTTCCTTATCTCTCCTCTTGTTCCACCTATTACAGTACTAAGTTCTCAGTCTTTTTCTTCTCTTACTCTCCCCTAGGCTGCTCTTCATACTTTTAGGGCTTCAGTTCAGTCTTCATGTAGATGATTCCCAAATGCTCTTCTGTGCTCTACACTGCCTATTGGACATCTTCACTTCATAATTTCACAGGCACATCAAACTCATCATAACCTCCTCCTCCTCCAGCATTCCTTTTTTTTTTTTTAGTTTTTATTTATTTACTTGACAGAGCGAGAGCGGGAACACAAGCACGGGGAGTGGGAGAGGGAGAAGCAGGCTTCCCACGGAGCAGGGAGCCCGATGTGGGGCTCGATCCCAGGACTCTCAGATCATGACCTGAGCTGAAAGCAAACACTTAACGACTGAGCCACCTAGGCGCCCCCAACATTCCATACCACAGTGCCTGGCATGACCATCCCACTGCTGAAACAAAAACCTGGGAGTCATTTTTAACTTCTCTCTTAGCCATTATATCCAATCAATCATCAAGTCCTATTGAATTTATCACTTAAGTATTTTTTAAGTTGGTTCATTTATTTCCATCTCTCTGCCACCCTTTTGGTTCAACTCAAAATCATCTCTTGCCTGAACTGTTATAGCAGATTTTTAATTGGCCTTCCTATAATACTTTTGACATTAACTGATCTTTTAAAAAATACTACCTTTTAGAGACATCAGTCAGATCATGTCATGCCTCTGCTTGAAATCTTTTAGTAATTTCCCATTGCTCCTTGGATAAAGTCCAAAATCCTAAATTTAAAAGATCCTGCAGGATCCGACTTGCAGCACCAAACTAGATATGGTTGAGAGCCAGCAGTTCTCAGGAGGAGCTCACTCTATACATAAGTTTAGTGAAACATCCATCATCTGTAACATAGTGATAGCCCTTGTGTCTAATACCTGTTTTAGAAGAAATTTTCACAGCTGGAAATAAGGTTCTGACCATTTGATAAATATAAAGCTTTACTTCTAGGGATAATATATGAAGAAAGTTCATATGCAGAGATTTGCAAAGGTTTTTTGTTTTTAAACCTTTTAGAAGGCACTAAAACAGCCATATATAAGTTTTTTAAAAAGATTTAAAAAGCTTTTCTCATAAACATTACCCATATAATGTTAAAAATAGTGTCTTCTAAATGGTTTATATAGTATTTGTATTTATGTTAAAAAGCATATTAAGTAAAAGTAAAACCTACTGCCCGACTTGAATATAGAACATTTCTCAGTGAGATTGAAGCTGTGTGTATGCCCCTCCTGTCACATCCAGATACCACCTCACAGAGTGAATCACAATCATTAGTTTTATATTTAACAATTCCTTACCTTATAATTTTACTCTATGTTTTTCTGAAAAAATGGCATTTGGTTCGTTAGCTTTTTAAACAGCTTTGTTGAGGTATAATTGACATATAATGAAGCGTACATATTTAAAGCTTGCGATTTGATATGTTTTGATATATGTGTACACCTGTGAAGCCATGACCATAATCAAGGTAATGAACCTATCCGTTGCTCCCAAAAGTTGCCTCGTGCCCCTTTGTAATCCGCCCCCATCCTCCATTCCCAAGAAACTACCCTTTTTTTGGCTGGCTTCTTTCGCTTAACATAAATCATTTTGAGATTCACTCATGTTGTTGCATTTATCAGTTATTGGTTCTGTTTTAATGCCAAGTAGTATTTTGTGGTATAATTACACCACCCTTTGTTTATCCATTCATCTTTTGGTGGATATTTTGGATGTTTCTCATTTTGGGCTATAAATAAAGCTGCTATGAACATTTGTGTATAAGTCTTATTGGCATAAACTTTCCTTTTTTTGTGGGGGAGTGGTAAATGCTTGGGAGTGAATGACTTGGTCATTTAGTAGGTATATATTCAACATTTTAAGAGATGGCCAGTTGTTTTTCAAAAGAATGTACTGTTTTACATTCTCATCAGTCATGTGTGAGAATTCTAGTTGCTACACATCCTTTCTAATACATAGTATAGTCTTAAATTTCAGTTGTACAAATACATGTGTATTGATACCCCGTTGTGGTTTTAATTCACATTTCTCCAGTAACTAATGATATTGAGCATTTTTTATGTGTTTGGTAGCACATGAAGCATAATGAAGTGCTCTTCAGATCTTTTGCCCATTTAAAAAATTAAGCAATTTAAATAATAAAAATAATAAAATTCAAATAATAATAAATTTATTATTGAATTTTAAGAGGTCTTCATATACTTAGGATACAAGTTATTTTTTTTCAATGAGAATTCTTTTTTTTAATTGAAGCATAAATGACATGCAATATCCTCTTAGTTTCAGGTGTACATCATAGTGTTTCAATATTTTTATACATTATGAAATGATCCCCATTAAGTCTAGTTACCATCTGTCACCATACAAAGCTGTCCTTGATTGCATTCCCTATGCCCTACATTACGTCCCTATGGCTTATTTATTTTATAACTGGAAGTTTATATCTCTTAATCCCCTTTACCTAGTTCACTCCCCTCCCCAAACAAGTTTTTTTAGATTTTATTTATTTATTTGACAGAGAGAGACAGCGAGAGAGGGAACAGAAGCAGGGGGAGTGGGGGGAGGGAGAAGCAGGCTTCCTGCTGAGCAGGGAGCCTGATGCGGGGCTCGACCCCAGGACCCTGGGATCATGACTTGCGCCGAAGGCAGACACTTAACGACTGAGCCACCTAGGCGTTCCTACAAGTTCTTTATCAGATATGTGATTTGCAAATATTTTCACCAAGCCTATGACTTGTCCTTTTCAAAGAACAGACATTACTAATTTTGAAAAAGTCTAATTTATTATTTTTATGGAATATGATTTTAGGGTTGTACCTAAGCAGTTGTCACCTAACCAAGGCACAAAAATTTCACCTATATTTTCTTCTGGAAATTTTATAGTTACAGATATTACATTTAGGTCTGTGAATCATTTGAGTTATTTTTTGTAATGGTGTGAGGTATGAAGTTTTGAGGTTTTTCTTTTTTTGCATATGAATATTCAGTTGTTCCAGTACCGGTGGTTGTCAAAAATCATTTGACACCTTTGTCAAAAATCATTTGACCATATATGTATGGGTCTGTTTCTGGATGTTGCTCTGTTTCATTAATCTCTCTGTGCCAATGCTACACATACAGTCTTGATTACCATAGCTTTATAATAAATCTTGAAATCAGGTAGTCTGAGTCCTCCCAGTTTTGTTCTTTTTTTCAAAGTTGTTTGGTTATCTGTCCTTTGCATTTCTACATGAATCTTAGCATTAGCTTATTAATTATTACAAGAAAAAGCTTAGTGGGATTTTGATTGGGATTGCAATGAATTTGATAGATCAGTTTGAAGAGAATTAACATTTTAAGAATATTGAGTCTTCTGATCCATGAACATATATGTCTGTCCATTTATTGAGATCTCATTTAATTTCAACAGTGTTTTGTGGTTTTAGTGGGCTTTACATAAGTTATATCATCCTATATTTATTCTTCTGTGTTTACTTAAAGTTTTTTTGAAATTCACTCATTTTGAGGCATTTAGCTATCCTTAATTCATTTTCTTTTTTTAAGACTTTATTTATTTATTAGAGAGAGAGGGAGAGAGAGAGAAAGCAGGCAGGGGGATCAGCAGGCAGAGGGAGAAATGGGCTCCCCACTGAGCAAGGAGCCCAATGCGGGGCTTGATCCCAGGATTCTGGGGTCATGACCTGAGCCGAAGGCAGATGCTTAACCAACTGAGCCACCCCTTAATTCATTTTCATTGTTATATGCCACTCTACTATATAAACATGCCATAATTTATTTGTTCTTTTACTGATGACTGTTTAGGTTATTTCCAGTTGTGTTTTTTTTTTTTTTTGCTATTTCAAATAATGCAGCTATGGATATTCTTGTACATGTGAGCTAGTGCATATGGGCAACAGTTTTCGAGAGGTATAAACATGCCTATGAGTAGGCTACTGGTTTTTGGCTTTGTCATATTGTTTTCCAGTTTATATTACTATCAGTGTATATGGTTTTTGGTTTTTTTTTAAGTTTATTTTTTAGCAATCTCTACACCCAATGTGGGGTTTGAACTCATGCCCCCAAGATCAAGAATTGCATGCTCACTTGATTGAGCCAGTTAGGTGCCCCAGCAGTGTATAAGTTTTTGTTACTCTCCATCCTCACCAATCAGGGCTATCAGACTTCTTAATTTTTGCTGAGTGGGTGGGTATGAAATAATATCTCACTATGGTTTTAATATGCATTTTCTGAGTCTTAATGAGATAATCTTTTCATATTTTTTCTTCTGTTAAATATCTATTCATCACTTTTGCCCATTTTTCATTTACATTGTCTTATACTTTTTAGGACTTTGGTTAAGCATCTGCCTTCAGCTCAGGTCATGATCCCGGAGTCTTGGGATCGAGTTCTGCATCGGGCTCCCTGCTCAGCAGGGAGTCTGCTTCTCCCTATGCCCCTCCCCCTGCTCATGCACTCTCTCCCTCTCAAAAATAAATAAATAAAAATTTAAAAATATGTATATTTTGGATACTGGATATATCATTTTTTAGTTATAAGTATCGCAGATATCTTTTCCTAGTTCATGGCTTGTCTTCTTACATCCTTTTTGGGGTGTGTGTGTGTGTGTGTGTGTTTTAAGATTTTATTCATTTATTTGAGTGGGGGGGAAGAGAGATAACATGAGCATTGGTAGGGGCAGAGGGAGAGGGACAAGCAGACTCCCTACTGAGCGGGGAGCCCCATGAAGGGCTCGATCCCAGGACCCTGAGACTATGACCTGAGCCTAAGTCAGATGGTCAACCAACTGAGCCACCCAGGTGCCCCTCTTTTTGGTGTTTTTTGATGAGTAGAAGTTGTGAAGCAACTCTGATATATTGAAGAGTTTAAAAGTAGACTTAACCCAATTTATCAGTAATACATTTGAGCCCTAAATCCCATAGAAGCCTTAGTTTCAGATCTATTCTATGATTTACCTTTATAAATCTTAAATTTGACTATCCAGTCCCATTATCTTCTCCAGTTATGGTTTTGGGGTGCAGAGGATGAGGGGAGATCCACTGTTTCTCTAAGGATCCAATAACAAGTTTTACAAGCATGTTTTGAAATTTTTTCTTAAATTATCTTTTAGGCTGGACCAGAGTATGGTCAAGGAATGAACCCCATTAGCCGCCTGGCTCAAATTCAACAGGCCAAAAAGGAAAAAGAGCCAGATTATGTTCTGCTTTCAGAAAGAGGAATGCCTCGACGTCGGGAATTTGTGATGCAGGTATTTCTAGCATTTTATTAGAAAAAAAATTTTTTAACACTGAAAAAAAAAATTAGAAAACCCCAGGTTGTAATAGAGGGAAAATGGGGGAAAGGCAAACTAGGCACTCATAGGTTTCATTCCTTCCAGGCCCACCTACTAACTTGGTTGAAACATTCAGGTGTCGAGGACATGTTGGACAGTCTGGGTTTTTGAAGGGACTGTGAGTTCACACACGTTATTCACCACAGAGTTTATAGTTTAGAATGCCTATCTCTAACTTATGTTGCAGTTTGCAGCCAGAGGCCGTTAACTACTGGGAAATAGGATACAGATGGAATTAGAGACATCATTTAGAAGCTAGATGTCATAGATGGAATAGGGCCAAGAGCATGAGCTTTTGGGTTATCAGGAAAATTAGGAAAAGAAAGCTGACTTCCTGCCTAACTATGGTGAGGACTGAGGGACTCAGAATTGCCGAGAGATTTAGGCATCTAGAGGTTTTGAGGTTTCAGATTGAGGCACAATGCCTAAAATGCCGCCCTTTTAAAATTCTGCGTGTTCATCTTCATTTGCCAACTCAAGCCCCAGTATTGAAGAAACCTTTAATTCTTATTATGTAAATTTCAAACATCTCCAAAGGTGGGTATACTTAACATTATACTATTAAACAATAATGGAATAGCAATGACATATGAGGAATATGCCCACCATCCAAACACAACTATTAAGATCTTTGCCACACTTGCTACAGCTGTCAGTTTTTCTTTCCTCCTTCCCTCCCTTCTTTTCTTAAGTATTTCAGAGCTGATACCTAGCCACATACCATTTCAGCCCACCTACTTAGTGTATATCACTAAAACATATGGAAGTTTTCCTTTATGTTCTTACATTAGGCATGATTCATACTCATTAGAATCATCTAATACCCAGTCCATATTTAAATTCTCCTTATTGTCCCAAAACTTTTTATTATAATTGGCTTGTCAAAGAAACTTTTCCCAGTCAGACCTGTGGATCTCACCTTTAATGTGATCCAGTTAAAATCCACAGATTTATTTATTAAGTGCTGACCATGTGGTGGACATTTTGGCAGTAACACATAGTATCTCATATTGATTAACTTTTCATGCATATCTTTTTTTTTTTTTTAAGATTTTATTTATTTATTTGAGAGAGGCAGGGAGAGCTGCGCACACAAGCCAGGGGAGGGGCAGAAAGGGAGGGAGAGGAAGAGGGAAAGAATCCCAAGCAGACTCAGTGCTGAGTGCGAGTCCTGACGCGGGGCTCAGTCTCATGACCCTGAGATCATGACCTGCGCCAGAACCAAGAGTCAGTCACTTACCTGACTGAGCCACCCAGGCACGCATTTCTAAATTTTACCTTCTTTCCCAATTTATAATCTCTGCATTTCTTTATCTCATAGTACCCAATATAGTATATGTATATAGTAGTACCTTAAGAAACCTTGGGGGTATATTTGCTGCCTATCTGCCTGATTGAGAGCTAGTATGTTTGGCTTTGTTGGAGATGTAAACTTACAGTGCAGTCACAGATAAACCATGGTTGGGAACCTCGCTATCCAAAAAGGGGGGGATACTTCTATGACTAGTAAGCACATTACTAACTACATGTCATTAGACCCAGAACAGTCTTACTCTAGTATTTTCACTTCATAAAATACTTTACCATTTTTCCTTTTACATGCTTAGTAGAATTCTAGGAAGTATCTTTTGAACTCCAAAACCTGAGGGGGGAAAAATCACCTAAATTGAGACCTGTATTAGGAATAAAAATTTTGACTTTATTAAACAGTTTTTTTTTTTCCTGTGGAGTATAAAAAGGAATTTAGAATATCTTAGGCCAGCTTCCATTTTATGGGTATTCATAAACATTCTAGTCAAATGGGAACATTTGGCTGTGCTTTTAAATGTTTTCACACTGAATTCATATTGCTTTTCCCCCTTCTGGAATTCCCAGTGGATTCATTATAGTATTGCAGCAAGTTTATCAAAGTAAGGGCTTTTGTATAAACTACTTAAGCAATGTTATCATTTGTTACAATTGAATGTGGAAGTAAAAATATCTAGAGGTAATGTGCTCATATTTATCTATCACCAAGAAAAATAATGGTAAGTTTGTATGTTATAAAGTGGATGCAGTTACTTGTATTGATTACTAGACAAAAATTCCTGATGAGATTATTTGGGTATTTATTTCGAGAGCATATTTCTTAAAGCTTTTTATTTTTTTTAGAAAGGGGTATATTTTAATTTTTTGAAGAGAAAATAATGACAACTAAATTAAGTGTATATCACATATACACATTGTGTATAGCACATTCTATTAATTTTTCTACCAGTGATTAAAATCTTCAGGTTTTTAAAAAAATATATAAAGCAAATTTCATCAGTTTTATTTATTACTTATTGAAAGATAATGAATTAAGTCTTTGGTGTATGCTAGTTTAGAACTTTTTTTTTAGCTTTTCTGAGGCCTTGACTCACTTAAGTGATTTGTTTAAAGATAAAAATATGGCAGTCTTAAAGTTATTGTATAGCAAAATAATTGAACTTCTTTGCAGACAAATTAACATTTTAATGTAAAAATATTATTTGTAATAGTTAAAAATTTTTTGAGTTTTCTAGGAAGATGACTTATGCAGTTTATTTACATACATAATTGCTTTTATAATGATGTGATTTGTTTTGAGTGCCCACTGTGTTTGTTAGCAGGGAATTAAAGTCCGTCAGCACAGTCATCTTTTCCAGTACTAACAAATAAGTCTGGGATAAGTACCCGCAAACTGTTGAACCATGCCACCATAAAAACTTGTGAGAGACAAGGGATGGGTGAGTGGCAAAAATGAATCTGGAAGCCCCTGTTCTAGCAGTCAAGACTTCGAAGGTGGCAGAATAGGTCAAATGGAAAGCTGCAGATACAGATCCAACGTGAATGCTCTTGAGATGGCAACAGCCTTACCCAAGAGCAGGAGACTGGAGTCAAAGAGTATCAGGCCTGGGTAGATAAATGCGATTTAGAGATGAAGCAGTAAAAGAATTGAATGAGAGTGAGTGAGGTGTATATAGCATGTAAAAACAGATGAAACATTTTTTGCTGCTCAGGGGTCTTGCTTCCATTTACTTTGGCAAGTCTTTTGACCTGCAGAGCAGTAGAGGAAGCTTCTGACGTAGCTGGCCTAATCTGTTAGCAAGCATTCCAGCAACAACACAGGGGCTGGTGAAGCTGGGGAACAAATCAAACATTGGAAAAAATAACAGGTAGCAGAGGCCCGGCTTTAGCCGGGGACTCAAACACATTATACCTAGGGCCTGCTGTGTTCAGGTCAGGGCAGGCCAGCACAGATATGGGAGGTAGTGGGTGTTCACTCAGCTCCAGGGAACGACTGGACAGTGCTTGATCAGGGCTTCTGAGTGAGGTCTATAGACTACTGCTGATTTATCATAATGCGATGGTTTCTAGTTTCAGAAGAAAAAGCAGTGAAATGTTTCAAAGACATTGCACAGGCTTGAAATATAACATTTGTGATAGTTGCTACAGAAATTCTATAATGAATACATTTTCAGTGTTTCATATGCTACAAGAACTATTAAAAAGGGGCACCTGGGTGGCTCAGTTGGTTAAGCGTCTGCCTTTGGGTTAGGTCATGATACCAGCGTCCTAGGATCAAGTCCCACATCAGGCTGCTCAGCAGAGAGCCTGCTTCTCCCTCTCCCTCTGCCTGCCACTCCCCTTGCTTGTGTGCTCTCTGTATCTCTCTCTGTGTGTCAAATAAATAAATAAATAAATCTTTAAAAAAATAAATAAAAATAAAAAAGCATAATTTATTTGTCATATAATTTGCACATTGTTTATATTTAAGTTATTTTTTTTCTAACCACTGTGTTTAGAAGTACTTCATTCACTGACGCTTAAAAGTAGTGATAGAAATGCTAACCAAATAAAGCCTAAATACTGGTATAAGAATGAATGGCAAACAGTGCACAAGTCTGATATGTTCTGAGACACATGAAATAGCAAGTTATGGTTTCACCCAAAAGCCAAAAAAGAAAACTATGGATAGAAGTATCATGCTTTATCTCTGAAAACTGTATTTGGTAGCACCAAATACTAATTCATTGCTAGTGCACAGTATATTGTAATTGTGAAATTTTATTAAAGCAGCATGAAGCTATTGAAGCCAATATTTTTCTAAACAAAGCACAGTGACATCTGGTAAAACATTCCAAATTTTCATATATAGTTGGCCTGTTCAGCTCTCTTGCTTTTTTTTTGTACTGGCTTTAAAAAAATAACATATAGGCATTCACTATATATTCTGGAATGTGAGTCTTTTTCAGTTACATGGCATTTCAAATATCTTTTCTTGTGTTGTGACTTTATTTTTTTTTCCTGCAATTTTAGTGATGCTCTTTTGAGGAACAGAAGTAATTAACTTTAATGCAGCCAAATTCTTCCTCACAAGGATCTTGGGTGGTCTTAGCACTTTGTACCTCAATGTAAATTTTGGAATCAGCTAGTGAAGTATTATAAAAACATGTGTGGGATTTTGATGGGAATTCATTGAATTTATGAGTCAATTTGAAGAGAACTGGTATCATATTGATTTTCAGTACGAGTATGGCATTTCTCTATTTATTTTTTAAAAATTTTATTTCATTATCTCTATTAGGTCTATCTTAATTTTTCTCAGTGCTTATTATTTTCTATATAAAGTTCTTAACATCATAGGTATTTGATTTTCATTTAGTATAAATGGTATCTTAGCTTCCAAGATCAGACCAGATCCACCGCGTTCAGGATGGGATGGCCGTAGACTTAGTATAAATGGTATCTTTTACTAATTTCCTACTTGATTGTTGATGGGATATAAAAATGCAGTTGGCTTTTGTATACTACTGTTTACAAAGAAAACTTAACACTCTTATAAATTCTTATAATTTATCTGTAGGTATTCTTAGATTTCCTATATAAATATCATATCTCCAGATAATGACAGTTTGTTTTTATACTTCTAACTCTATACCATATTTTTTCTTCCCCTATTGCTCTGTCTAGGATTTGTAGCAAAATGTTAAGTACTAGTAAAAATAGAGGGCATCCTTGTCTTGTTTCTAATTTCAAAATTTCAACATTAAGTATAACATTTGCTGAGGTTTGCTGTAGGTTTTTTGCAAAATGCCCTTTATCATACTAAGGAAGTTCCCTTTTTTCCCTTGTAGTTTACTAAGTTTTTATTATGAATGGATGTTGAGTTTTATTAAATGCTGTTGCTCCATTTATTGGGATGACTCTATGTTTTGTCTCCTCAACCTATTAATATAGCAGATTCTGTTGATTGATTTTGAGTTTCAAATGTTAGACCAGTCTTGCATTTCTGGGATAAACCTAACTTTGTCATGATTTTTCTTTTTATATATTGCTTTGTTCGGTTTACTGTTATACAGTTTAAACTTTAGCAGTTATATTCATGAACAAAATTGGTCTGTAAATTTCCTTTCTTATACTGTTCTTGATGGATTTTGGAATGAAAGTGATACCTCACTGAATAATTGGGGGCTGATTTCTCTTTTTCTATTCTTAGATGAATTTTTGTAAGGTTAGCATGATTCTTCCTTAAATATTAGGTAGAACTTGCTGGAGAAGCTCTCTGGAGTTTCTTTGTGGAAAAGGTTTTAATTATTCTAATTTTTTTTTTTTTAGTAGTTATAGAGCTGTACAGTTCGGAGTTTATTCTGTGCCAGTTTTGGTAACTTGTATTGTTGAGGAATTTTTCCACTTTATTTAAATATTCAAAAATTTTTAGCTAAAATACTCAACATCCCTTATTATTTTTTATTTTTTTATTTTATTTTTTAAAAGATTTTATTTTATTTATTTGAGAGAGAGAGAATGAGAGAGAGAAAGCACATGAGAGGGGGGAGGGTCAGAGGGAGAAGCAGACTCCCTGCTGAGCAGGGAGCCGATGTGGGACTTGATCCCGGGACTCCAGGATCATGACCTGAGCCGAAGGCAGTCGCTTAACCGACTGAGCCACCCAGGTGCCCCAACATCCCTTATTATTTTTTAAAGCTTTTATTTATTTGACAGAGAGAGAGAGAACGCAAGCAGGGGGATCAGGAGAGGGAGAAGCAGGCTCCCCGCTGAGAAGGGAGCCGGATGTGGGACTCAACCCCAGGATCCTGTGATCGGGACCTGAGCCAAAGGCAGATACTTAACCAGCTGAGCCACCCAGACGCCCCTAGCCCTTATTATTTTTTAATTCTACAGAAGCTATAGTAATCTCCCATTTTCATTCTTATTTGTGTCTTCTCTTACTTTTCCTTGATCGGTCTTAACCTTTGATTTATCATTTTATTAGTCTTTTCAGGGAACCAGCTTTTGGCTTTCTGAAATTTTCTATTGTATTTTGTTTTCTCTTTCCTTAATTTCTGCCCTTGTCTTTATTCTATTTTCTTTGGATTCATTTTGCTCTAATAACTTCTTGAGCTGGATGTTTAACTCATTACATTGCTGCCATTCTCTAAGTTTTTATGGCTGTATATTTTCTTCTCGACCCTCCTTTAGCTGCATCCTTTAAATTTTGATATATTTCCGTTATTACTCACTTAAAATATTTTCTAATTTTATTGGGGTTTCTTCTTTGCTTGTAGTTTATTCAGACTACATTGTTTAATTTATAAAGTTATGATTATTTTCTTGTTTGCTGCTTTGATCATTTATTGAGACCAATTCATAAAAAACAAATCCCACTGTAGTTGTGTATTTTTTATTTCTCCTTGTAATGCTGTACTTTCTGCTTTCTTTTTAAAATTTAAAAAAAAATTTTATCTGGGGATGCGTGGGTAGCTCAGTCAGTTAAGTGTCTGCCTTTGGCTCAGATCATGGTCCCAGGGTCCTGGAATGGAGCCCCATGGCAGGCTCCCTGCTCAGCAGGAAGTCTGCTTCTCTCTCTGCCCAACCCCCCCACTCATGCTTGCACTCTTTCTCTAAAATAAATAGAATCTTTGAAAAATTTTTATTTATTTTTAAATTTTTTCCTTTTTTCAGTCTTTTAGTTTATTATATAAATAATACTAAATGTAGTTATAACCAACATAAACTCTGTTACAATGTGAATTTTATTTTTCTGCTTATATAAATAATATTGTTTTAAAAAATCAAATAACATAGAAATATGTAAGGAAGTAAAAATCATTTAAGATTCTGTCACCCTGAGATAAACCCCCATTGTCATTTTGAGGACCATATTGTCATATTTTTCTCTACATATATTTTCACTTGTGTATATAACATTATGTAAATGGAATAGTATCTTTTTTTTTTTTTTAAGATTTTATTTATTTATTTGACAGAGAGAGACACAGCGAGGGAACACAAGCAGGGGGGAATGGGAGAGGGAGAAGCAGGCTTCCCGCCGAGCAGGGATCCCGATGCAGGGCTCGATCCCAGGACCCTGGGATCATGACCTGAGCCGAAGGCAGACGCTTAACGACTGAGCCACCCAGGCGCCCCTGGAATAGTATCTTAATTGGTGTTTTCATTATGGATGAAACTTTATATTTTTGAATGCTAGAGAGCATAACACATTGTTTTATGGTGTTAAAGAGTTCCTGTTTACCAAAGCAGTTATCATCACTTTCTTACTTTAATCTTACCAGGTCAAAGTAGGCAATGAAGTTGCTACTGGAACAGGACCTAACAAAAAGATAGCCAAAAAAAATGCTGCAGAAGCAATGCTCTTACAGCTTGGTTATAAAGCATCCACTAGTCTTCAAGATCAACTTGACAAGGTGAGAGCTCCATTTACATATACATATGCCTATCCTGCCAGAATATCAGAGTGATGAACAAATCCTACTCCAGTGTTTTTGACTCTAAGTAATGTCTTAACTACTTTTAAAGTAGAAGTCAATGTTCCCCCCACCCTCCGCCCCAGGGCAGTATTCTGTATCTTTAAAGATAGATTCTCCAGGTACAAAATAACATCTGTTTATGGGGCCAAGATGAAATATTAATCATACAGTTGGCAAATACTAAAAAATTGTATCATTGTATATATTTTATATAATACCAATTGAATAATTTTTAGTTTATTGACTTGTGGTTTTTGCCATTTGGCCACAGTTTTAATTTGTGTTTTTTAAAGAACAGAGTTTGTTAGCCTTTTTTTCTGGAATACAGCTGAAAACACTGGAAATAAAGATCCTGAGTTATCCCTTTAGGGCAGGAACTATATTGGACAGGCGCTCTATAAACTATTTTTTCTATTTACTTTAAATTTAAAGGTAAACTCAGAGGGTGTTTATTTTCTGCCAAGACTTATGTTCATGGTCCCCTATTTCTTCTGCAGCAGTTAATGACATCATTAACACCTACCTCTGTTGCAAGAGAAGCAGAGAACCCCAAATTCAGCACTTGGCAGATAACTTAGCAGGAACTAGTTTAATTCCATTTTGTATTATCATTTTATCTATGCACATGTAGAAATTATTTTTATTAAACATTTTATTAAATGGAAATTCATAAAACAGGCTTAATAATTATTTCTATCAAAAACAATGTGCCTTTTTTTCCCATGCCATTTTCTCACATAAGGATTGTGTTTTAGAGATGTTTTCAGTTTCTGCAGGAACACATTTCTGAAATTTGTAGTAAAAACAAAATCATCTGTTAAAAAACATTTTCTTTTTAAGACAGCTGTGAATATCTAGGCAATTATTTTTAGTGATTAAGAATTATTTGTCTGTGTGGTATTGCTAGAGATTTCAATTCTGTTTTTATAACCTGGCTAGTCAATGCTTTTTCTTCTTTTAAAAGTATTTGTAACATGAAACCTAACATGTGTTCAAGATTCTGTAGTTCTTATATTGTGTATATGTTGTTTTAACTTAACACATTTATATTGACTTAAAACTGGTGAGTGATTTATAAAAATATGTCAAAGTAAATTTCCTCATAGACATGTATTTGTATGTTAAGTGAAAATAGAACAAAAAGCATTGATTTTGTTAATACGAAAAACATTTTTTTGTATACCCCCTGTATTATCGTTCAGGGTTCTCCAGAGAAACAGTCCAGAGGATGTGTATGTGTGTGTGTGTATGTATTTGTATGTGTGTATGTATATATACACATTCATACATCACTCACAGAGACTTATTTTAAGGAACTGGACTATGCAGTTGTAGAGGCTTGGCTAGTCCAAAATCTGAGGGAGAAGCCAGCAGGCTGGAGAATCAGGAGTTAGGTGTGAGTCCAGAAGCTTTCTGCTGAGTTCCCTCTTGCTTCAGGGGAGGTCAACCTTTTCTTCTAGGTGGGTCTTCAACTAATTAGGCCCACCCACATTATGGAGAGGAATCTGCTTTACCCAGAGTTCAGTGATAAATGTAAATCTCTTCCAAAAACACCCTCACAGAACACCCAGAATAATGTTTGATCAAATATCTAGTCACCATGGTCCAGACAATGACACATAAAATTTACCATTGCACCCACTAAATGCACCCACTAAACACTTAAACTGAAGATAACAAGATGACTGAAACTTGGTCCCTACACTCGAAAAACTAACCCTTAAGTGTTAACAGTGAGGAGCTTTAATCATATAACAAAAATTATAGTATCCTAGAACCTAGAGAATATGAAGATGAATCTGGAAAATCATTAATAGCTGGGACCATGGTTTTTATGTGAATTAAGGAGCTTGAGGAATTACTAATTTAAGATTTGAACACGAAAGTGATATGATCTGGTTTGCATTCTTCAAAAGACAATCCTGTAAGTAACATAGGGAGTGTATTTGAGCAGGATGAGACTGAAGGCTGAGAGGCCAGGTGGGCTAGCAGAGCTCTTCAGGTAAAAGATGCTGAGGGTCTGAACTCAAGGCAGCGGTGGCAGAGAAGAGAGGGGAAAGATACCTGAGGTATTTCTGAAGAGTACGTGATAAGCTTTCAGTAGCAGATAATGTGCATGGGGGAGACGGGAGGGAGGAGGAAAGAAAACCTGTAAACAGAAAGAGACAGTGACTTTAAGAAGTAGGTAGCAGTCATATGCTGCAGGGAGATCGGGAGAAAGACTGAATACACTGATTTGTCAATAAGAAAAATCTGTGATGAATGAAGCAAAAGCAGTTTAAAAACTTACAAAAGCATGTTTTTAAAAAGTTTTTTTTTTTTAGTAAACAAGATATGTACACGGCTAAAAGAATTCACATAGCATGAAAGAGTGAACAGTGAGAAAAAGTTAGTCTTACTTCACTCTGAGACCCTTGGTCTCTTAGTCTCTCTTTTGAATAGCATCTCCCACAATGAGTTAATAGTTGTACAGCATTTAGAATACTGTCAAATATAGTGAATATTATGTAAGAATTTGATAAATAGAAATAAATATCTTTACGGAGATACTCTGTGTGTATATACTAATATATCCCCATTTTATAAAAAATTCAGATTTATCGAGGTGCAGTTCAGTGAATTTTGACATGTGTGTTTATATGTGTGTATACATTCATTAACTACCACCACAATTAAGATGTATAATATTTCTGTTCCCCAAAAAAAGTTCCCATTTGTAGTTAATCTCTTCCCCTCTCCTTAGCCCCTAGCAAGCCCTGATTTGATTTCTCTTTCTATAATTTTGCCTTTCCAGAATGTCATATAAATTGGATCATACATTAGGAAGCCTTTTGTGTCTGGCTTCATAATGCTGAGATTCATCTGCGTTGTTGGATTTATCATTAGTTCTTTTTTATTGTCTCTTATTGTTTTAGTCTTCACTGACATTTGGGCTCTTTCTAGTTTGAGGCTATTATAAATTAAGTGGCTGTAAACATTCATATGTAAGTCTTTATATGTACATATTTCTCTAGTATATTCTTTATGTCCATATTTGTATAATAAGCACATGTGTAACTTTGTTAAGAAACTGTGAAGATGTTTTCCAGAGAGGCTGTACTAATTTGTATTCCCACTAGGAGTGTTTGAGAGTTCCAATTACTTTACATCTTTTCCAGCTCTTGGTATTGTTGGTTTTGATAGTTTTGATTATACTAGTAGGTATATAACGTTATCTCACTAGAATTTAATTTGCATTTCCCTAATAACTGATAATGTTGAATATCTTATCATATGTTTATTTACCATTCATATCTCTTCCCTGAAATGCCTGTTCGAAGCTTTGTCTTTTTAAAAATTGGATAGTTTGCTTTCTTATTGAGTAGTTGTAAGAGTTCTTTACATATTTTGGACACAAATTCGTTATCAGGTAAAGAATTCCCCTGCCTTCTCCTTCCCTTCCTTCCTGACCTCTCCTTTCTTCCTTTTCCACATAGGTTATCCAGTTGTATCATCTGTTTAAAAGATTAATGCTTTTCCATTGAATTCTTCTAGCACATTTGTTGAAAATCAATTGACCACATATTTGTTGGGTCTGTTTCTAGATTCTCTGTTCTGTTCCATTAATCCATATGTCTATCCTGAAGCTATTACAAGTATGTATAGACTGTAGCTTTTTAAGTAAGGTTGAAATCCAATAAAGAACTCTGTCTTTGTTCTGTTTGTTTGTTTGTTTATTGGCTAGTCTGGAGCCTTTGCATTTCGATAGAAATTTTAGAATCAGTCTCTATCAAGAAAAAGAAGCCAATTCGGAAGTTTTCTTTAGGACTGTGCTGACTATATATATCAGTTTCACGTAAATCAGTATCTTAATATGGAGTCTTTCAGTCTGTGAACAAGATCTAGCTCTCCATTTATTTAGGTTTTTAGAAATATCTCACACCAATGTTTTGTACTTTTTCATAGAAATATTTCACAGTTTTCATGTTTATCCCTAAGTGCTTCATGTTTTTGGATATATTATTAATGGCATTTTTTTTTAATGGTGTTGGTTTTTAAACCAGTGGCTGTACCATTCAATTTCCAATTCTTCTTTTCTATTGTATAGAAATACAGTTGGTTTTATATATTGACCTTGTACTCTGCGACCTAGCTAAGCTGAGTTATAATAGCTTATTTTGTAGATTGTGTGGGATTTTCTGCATTGATGACCTTGTTTATGAATAAAGACAGTTTTATTTCTTACTTTCTAATCTGTATGTTTTTATCTACTTGTCTTGCTTTATTGCTCTGAATAGAGCATCTGGTACAGTGGTGAACAGAAGTGGTTGATTGTTGAATTGGAAAGCAGATATCCTTACCTCCCTCCTCATCTTTAAAGGAAAGTCAGTCTTTCACCATTATAAATACCATGATGATTGTAGTTTTTTTCATAGATACTCTATATGAGATTGATATTTCCTTGTATTCCTGCTTTATTAAGAGATTGGTTTTTTTGCTTAATTATCAGTACAATTTTAATTTTACCAAATGTTTTCTCTACATCTGTTGATATGTCATATAATTTTTCTGTTTAGTTTGTTGTAATGGTGAATTTCACTGATGGAGTTTTAAAATTTATGTAATATGTAAATAACAAAAAAAAATACAATTTTAACCATTTTTAGGTGAACATTTCAGTGGCATTAACTACATTCACATTGTTGTACGGCCATCACTGCTATCTACTTCCAGAATGTTTTCATCATCCCAAATAGAAACTGTACACCATTAAACATCAACTCCTCGTTCTTCCCTCTACTCAGCCCCTGGTAATCTCTGTTCTACTTTCTGTGTCTCTGAATTTGCCTTTTCTAGGAACCTTCTGTAAGTGGAATCATACAATATTTGTCCTTTTTTGTTGGGCTTATTTCATTTAGCATGTTTTCAAGGTTCATCCATGTTGTAGTATTTATAAG